TAACGACACTGGATGCTACCTAACTTTCTTAAACTTCCATTAATAAACCTCTTCCTGCAGTCCCCTCCCCATGGGCACCCATCAGAGGTACTGAACAGCTCTGCGGCCTCTTGAGTGGAGACACAACAAAGAAGGCAGGGTTAGGCTGGGTCTCCAACATGTGCATTTTATGGGGAGCAGAAAGGGAGGGGGGATGTGCTTGTTTGACGTCAGAAAACCAGCAGCAATAGCACTAATCCTGAGAATTTGCCTAGCGCGTGATTCTGAAAGGCCTAGCCTTGGCCATAAGCTGAGATTCCCCCTCCCCGTCCTAACAAATGCCCCTACAGTTGCTCAACCCAAAAGCCCTCTCTGAAATCTCCCTCCTTGGTGTGGTCTGCATGATGTGCAGTGGGGCTCAAGAGGTACCACCAGCCTTGCTGGTGTCACTGCCTGGTTCTGCACAGGCAAAGTGCTAGGCACTATCTTGGAAGCATCCAGTGTGTGCTGAAAGATGGATAAATGGGTGGTGATGTGTCCTGAACATCAGCTAATCTAGAGCTTCTCGCATACTCAATCTCTTTCTCTTGTTGAGGAAAGCTGGAGAGTACCCAACAAGTATACTGACAGCAACAGGGAACACCAAATAGTACAAACTTTCTATCCAGCCATGCAGCAGAAAGGACTATCTCTCTTCTAGCGCCATGAAGGGCCAGGAAGAGGATCTGTCTCTGGAAAAGTATGTGAGGAAAGCCTGCTGACAAGTGCAATGCTGAGCCTGACTGTCGGCTCATGGAAAGTTGCAATGGGTGAATGACCCAGCTTTCACCTTCCCAGAGGGTGATGCTGGCTGTCCTGCTTTCCTTGCAAAAGGGGCCAGCAGTTCTGTGTACTTTGCTAACTTTGAAGGGATCTTCTGCACAAGAAATGAGGACACAGCCACTCTGACAGACCAAGGCATGGCTTGCACCTTTGGTCCTCTCCTCTTGCCCAGGCCAGGCTCAGAGCAGGAAGGACAGACTTGCTACACTTCTGCACCACCATGCAAGCCAAGGTTTGCCCCATTTGATCCTGGCAGAAAAAATACCCTGGGATTGGTGAAGGGAAGGCAGCAGAGACCAGATAACACCTGCCTGTGACAGGAAGGCCATGGAGAAAAGAAGCAGAGCCAATTAGACTCGCCAGTCAATGAAGGATAAGTAATGGGATTAGGATACAGCAGGGAGGATTCAGGTTAGATGTAAGGGAGCAGGCTATCATGAGAGGAGCAGACTGGGCCATCGAATGAGCTGCCAAAGGAATCGTCATCACCACACAGACACAGAGGAAAGCAGACACAAGTCTGCAAGAAGAGCAGACGCCCGAGTGCTGCTCAGCCTGGAGCTGCAGCGGGTGGAAGTCTGTATGCTGAGGAGATGGGACCAGTCCACCATGAGGCTGTGCACCAGAACAGGGACACACCATCCTGGGATATCTGTGCTAATAACCTGTACTGCAAGGAGAATTCAATCAGCTGCCCTTTCCCCAGAGCACAGTGGTCCCTCACCAGCACTTAGGAGGAAACCTATACATGCACACCCATTCTGCTGGCTCCGTCAGCTGTCTGCCATGAGCTTCCCTGTCTGGCTAGACATGCTCCCTGCTGGCAGGGAGAAGGAGAAAGAGCACAACCCCAGTTTCAGCCTGTTCTCTTCAGCTCCACCACTTCTTTGCCAAGCCACCATACAGCTCCCATCCCTCCTGCCCGGTCCTGCTCCAAAGCATGCCATCCCCCTTTCCTGAGCCTGGCAAGAATGGAGCAGGCTGCACCGGGATGGGTAGTTCCACCATGTTCAGTGGAGTAGCAAGAATATGAGGAAGGGGATCTCTGAGCAATCCTGGCGTGCAGTGGGCAGCACTGACTAGAGAGGTCCCACTTCTCAGGATGCTGCAGGTCAGGGACAGCCACAGACCATGGCACTGGGACTACATCTGGCACCATGTGCATGGGGAAGGTGTTCCACAACAGGAAGACCCTGCATGGATCCTGCTGGCCAGAGCAGCAGCTGTGCCTCAAAGATACATGTGTCCACCTGGATAGACCACCTCCAGAATAAGATTTCCTGGGTGAAAACGGGGCCAGAGGAACAAGTTGAAGAAATCTCATGAAAAGGCCCAGAAAGAGCCAAGGACAAGGTGCCTGAAAGCAGAACTCTGCTGCAGGTGCTAAAGGACAGGGGCAGAGAGACCCTACTAATCTGTTAGTATTCAGAGGACTGTCTTTGCCCCAGGGAGCTAAAAGGCCTGCCAAATCTTAGATATATCCATCTGTCCAAGGCACCTTGGAGGCTGGAGATTGAAAGATGAGCCACCACAGCCTAATTTAAGCAATGTGTAGGAGATTTCAAAGAGAACATGCTGGGAAGGACAAGTGGACCACATTCCTCACTAATGACCCATTGCAGCTCCACTGACTGAACCTCTCCTGACTCACTGGGACATGCAAGCACACACCATTATATACCCAGAGTCACGAGGACCCTCAGCATTGGCCCTGGCTTACGTAAAGCCCCTGGAGAGAGAAGCACAAGTGCACAGCAAACCCAATGTCATCACTAAACAAGAAAACCCTCAGGGGCTGCAGCCACTTTCATCCAGTCTGGACCTGTGCAAATAATAACGAGAGCAAAATGCAGACAGAGCAATGCGCCCACACCAGAGACCTTCTGCTCCTCTGTTCTCAAAGGGACCCTTTTCTTTAAGCCAACATGATCCAGGTCTGCTAGTGAGTAAGGGCAGACGACAAGACTGAATCATAACGGAGTGAGATTTTAAAGGACTTTCTGTTCAAACCATTGTCATTTGGAGTCTAGCATTTGAGGTCCAGGAGGACAAGCTGACTTGAAAGGCAAGAGGCACTGACCAGGACACACAAGGCACAAAGAGCAGAAGAACAGACTGCTTGGGGGGCAAAGCCAAGCAGACCCTTACAACGCCTGCAAGCACTGACTGCTCCAGGCTTGTCAGTAAGACATGATCTTCAAAAGAGGACTGATGTGGTGGCAGGGTGTGTTTGCTGTCTCCCCAAGATATAGGAGGTGAAGAAGTACAGCAGCATGACTGAAGAGAACATTAACAGTTAGCAGGACTAAATATAATGCCTCAGTTTGCTGTTACATCTTACCCTTTTGCAATGGCTGCAGAGGCAGATTACCAAGCCCTGGTCCATCAGAATGCCCAGCTGCTGATGGACTTGTGGTTGTCACTTGCTCTCAGCCCTTGTTTGCCCCAGCCGATGAGGGAAACGTGGTGAGGCTGAGGAGCAGTGCTGACTGATTTGGCATGCACTCCCACAGAGAGCTGACTGAAAAGGAGACAGCTTTTCTGAGAACAGTGACACAAGGGAACCGGGGATGTGTTGATGGAAAAGGAAAAGCTGGTGCCCGCATGCTGCTGCCACTCATGCAGCTTCAGTGACATGAAGGCTCCTTGCCCAATGTCACCAAGATCCTTTCCACTAGGATAGAAGTGGCAGCACAAAGCTCAGAGCAAGCCAACCTGCCCTGACAAGAGCAGGGCAGAGGAACTCAGGGGATAATGGGCTACCTCACTTGTCACAGCCTGACCTCTCTGCAAACATCTCTATAGTGCAAACTGCTTGGTTTTAAGCAGGTTCTGCTCTGACATATCCCTAGCCTGTTCTGCAGAGCATCTCTCATGGCAGATACTTCCCTGTCTCCCACCTGTGGGTCCTGCACCCACAGGTGGGGCCCCACAGAAAGAGAATCTCTTTGCTCCTCAATTCCCCAGCCCAGGTTCCCAATGCTCCAGCATGCTTTTGCATTTCCCTTTTCCAGCCCCTCAGAGCTCCCTGCCAAAACCAGGCAGGCAGGAGCCTGCAGCTCAGAGTCTGCAGTCAGAGCCCATCCTGATCTCATGCAAAAGTCACTCTTACAGACACACACCAACCTGCTGCTCTATTATCAATACGTGAATTGCAGCTGAACCTACCAGAGCCTTCCTTGATGCTTGTCGGAACCAATTAGGACTCACTTCAAAGCCAGGAAGGAACCTCAGCCACTTGACGTGCCACTTATTACCACGATGCCTGTCCCAGTGCCATCCTCTCCCCATTCCCCAGCTCAGCGGGGGCCTCCCATTTTCTCTTTCCAGCTGAGCTCTCCTCCAGCAAGCAGATCAGAAGCGCCGCCGATCTCCACTCCATCTGGGTTCACACATTCATCCCTTCCCTGGTGCTGCCTGCCTGCTGTAATCCCAAAGAGAAAGCCCTTTACCTAGGGGATGCTGACTCTCAGAGCTGGCGTGCTGAAGCTTCCTAAGGAGCTGAGCCTGGGATCCTCTGGAGGCGGTGCCATTCCCAGCAGTGAGAACAGAGTAACAGTCGGAGCATGGTCTAAAAAAAAAAGTGGGGAGGGTGGGAATGGTCAGAGGAAGGGGAAGATCTGGATTTGTGGCTTTCAGCCTTTGCTCTAACCTTGCCACTCAGCTCCATGTGCCTGGACGCCCCAGACCTGTAGGCACAGGCAGTGACACACCGCTCCCAAAGAACTTGTTCCCCTGCATCCTGCGAGGGGTGTCACTCCAGCATGGGCAGCGGGGTGGGCAGAGGTGCAGCAGGGCGCTTTCTGGTGGTTGCTAGTTCCTCGGAGCACAAGCCAGCCTGGAGCCAGGGCTGGGAGACAAAGCACCCTCCTCCCTGCATCAGGCGTGTCTTTTTATTCCCCCCTTTGGATCTTGATGCCATGAATTACGGTGTTGGGGTTGGTTTGGGTCCTTTTATTTTTGCATGTGATGGTAGGTCTAGAGTTCTGTGCCATGTCACAGGGCGAGCATCAGCACTCACCCCTCTGGGAGGTCAGGGCTACGGCATGGGGAGCTTTTGCTGGCTGCTGGAGCGAGATGCTCTGTCCGCTCCATCCTGATGTCCTCCTGGGCCATCTGCCTCCCCTGCGCTCCTCTCCTCAAATCCTGCACTGGCTCAAGCCAGGCAATGGACAATGAGATCTCACCGGCCTCTGCTTTCACAGTGAGGTCTCCACGCAGGACCCGTTGCGGTGGAGGTGACGGTGGTCATGGTTCAGGCAGCCTTCGTTGCGGTGCACGATGAGGATGGGGAAGTAAAGGGCGTCCTGGTAAGGAGGGGGGTCTTCCTCCTCCACAGTCACCTGGCTGGAGAGGCGGGTCTGCTCCGTGGGGCAGCTCTGCTCGTTCAGGCTCCCGCTCCGGCTCTGCCAGAGGCAGCTGCGTCGC